CGCCCCAAACCTTAAATCCTAAACGCTAAACCCTAAATCCTAAACCCTAAACCCCAAACCCTAAACCCTAAACCCTAAACCCTAAACCCTAAATCCTAAGCCCTAAATCCTAAACCCTAAACCCCAGATCGTAAATCCTAAACCCGCAAGGCTGGCTTGGGCACTCCGGCCCTGTCAGTTGGTGGGGTCCTTGTGCTTAGCTCCTTCCTTGGGACGGAGCCTAGGACATGCATTACGGGTTTAGGATTTAGGGTGTAGGATTCAGGGTTTAGGCTTTGGGGTTTGGGGTTTAGGATTCAGGGTTTAGGGTTTAGGGTTGCTGTTAAGGTTTAGGGTTTAGGGTTTAGGGTTTAGGGTTCGTGCAGTGTAGGCACCTAATCTGGGACGCTGCTCAGGAACGTAAGCTAAGTTACCAGAACATGGATAGATAGTCACACGGTTCAGGCGTTTGGAGGTTTTGAGGGGTTTTCAGAGTTTTGAGCTTAGCATTTAGGGTGCAACATCGAATGGTCGAAGGAGATGTCAGGACCGAGTTGAGTTGTACATGTTAAGCTCTTAACCCTAAACCCAAAGCTCAAATTCTTCATCCTGCGATATGCTGGTGCCCACGCTGGACTTGACAGCTATATGCATGACCGAGATCCGGTAACGATTGCCAGTGATGTTTTCATTATTCCGTAAGTGATGTTTTCAGTGTTCTGTGCTCATCTACACAACTACTAGTACTAGTCAAGCATGTCCGCTTTCTCCTCCACTTCCTCCATTCTTTAAACTCGAAGCCGCAAACCCCAAACCTTAGTGCCCGGGCCGAAATCCTTGAACCCAAAGCCCCAAACCCTATTCCCTAAGAGCTAAACCCTAAACCCTGATTCCTAAGCCCTAAACCCTAAACCCTAAACCAAGCCCTGAATCCCTAAGCCCTGAACCCAGGAGCTGCCGCCCGAACTTCCCAACCCACTGCCTGCAATTCACTTCTTCCATGGGCAGGCAAGGCTTGGTTTCTCTCGACTCTTGTTTAATCTTATGAAGATTCGTTACATCTTTGAGGTTTCCAAGTTTGGTTGATCGGAATTTAGGGTTCAGGGTTTAGGGTGATAGCTAACATCGCAATTGGCAAGATGTACAAGTCTATTGCAACTATTGCAATTCCCGCAGTGTTGGCCACTGCTCGTAGGAAATGAAGTTACGGAATAACGACCTTGTAATGAGCATAATCACCTATTCTTTCATTACATTCTAAGAGGCAAGTCCGTGCTGCAAGCAAAAGATGAGTATCCACCATCAATACAGCAAAACCGTCCTGCGACACAAGATCCAAACATGTCCTAGGGAAGGTATACCGGGTGGTATATGATATCTACCATCCACAGTAGGGTTTGGTCTCATCCTCATTCTGAGACTCTGAGAACTCCACAAGGAAGGGGTGGTGTGACAAGATTTTGCGCACGCAATCCTTGCAAACCTTGAAGCTTAAGCCTCAATTTGGTCATGTTGTTGATGCTAAATGTTGATGCTAAAAAGTTTGGATTTCTCCAAGCATCTTACAGCTTCAGAGTGATGGTATCTAGTAAGTAAGCCAAAAGCATGCTAGATTTTTGGATCACCAGTATACCCACACGCAGAATCCAAATCCGTAGAGCTCTATAGTCCCCCTTAAGTAGATAGAGCGTGGGGTATATGGGGATCTTTTTATAATATACCCAAAGCCATATTCTATCTACTCACGGGGGACTCTAGGCCCCTAGCCGCAGGCGGATCAAGTTGTGCCTCTTACGTGGGGCCAACGCAGCCTCAACGAGTTGAAGGCTGGGATAGGGCTACCTAGGTTGTGCCTTGGATACTGCCCCTACCCATATACAGCTGGCTATATGTAAGTATATACATATATAATAGCAAACAATGGCATATAATGTGACAGCATATAGCAGACGGAACTTTAACTATATAGAGCCTTGAATATGACCCCGATTACACGGGTGAAGTCCTACTTTTGGGGTTCAAGGGTTTAAGGCTTAGTTTTGCTCAGGGTTTAGGGTTAGGGTCTGTAAGCCCCAAGAAACTTGCGTAATCTCAAGTTGTAATTAGTTTATACCTGGCCGTTCTTTTTTTTAGCTACGGCTTTTACAGATTACACAGGCGTACGGAGGGTATTCAAGTCTTCCAAGTGTACCGCAGGGACCCCAGTGTCCAGAAAAACTAAGCCCTCAACCCTTTGGGTTTAGGGCTTTGGGGTTTAGGGTTTAGGGTTTCTACACCCCTAAACCTTTAGCGGCCACAAGTTTGAGGACCGCAGTGAGAGAGTTGCAAGTGGGGGTGTGGGCAGGACAAGAAACCATCCATGAGCCTGCATGGGTTTAGGGTTTAGGGATGTTTAGGGCTTAGGGATTAGTGAAGGGTTGGGTAGGCATCAGACAAGGATGTAGTTTTTTTTGGGCAGTATATACGAGTAGGCACTATGTAGGATATACGTAGCTGCCCTGAAGCAGAAACACATCAGAGCCGTAAACCCTAAACCCTAGGCCAATGACATCACCGCAAGCTTCAAGTCCTATCCGGGTATGGCGCACTCTGCCTGTGCGGAGGAGTTGCTTGGCCAGCAACCTCGAGTGGCAAGGGAATATATTGGGGTTGTATAGGGATAACGGAAAAAGGGAAGCTACTATATAGTATATTGCGGTTATTTAGGGATACTGGAGAAGAAATGGAAGCTACTATCTAGGGTTTAGGGTTTATGTAGGGGTTCTATAGGGATGAAGGAAAAGGACATGGAAACTACGATTTAGGGTTTAGGACTTATGTAGGGGTTATAATAGGGATAATGGAAGAGAAAATGGAAGCTACTACAGTATAATAGGGTATATATTGGGTTTACAGGAAGTTGGTAGCTTCAAACTTGGACACCCGCAACAGTCCTTCAACGATGACAGTTCTTCCATACGGACCTGCCGGGAACTCTAGCAACCCTTGCTTCTGTTGTTCAGGCCGCTGTTTCGAGACAAGATTTCTACCCCACGGTTCCTGAAGGACTTACAGTATGGCGGACACCAGGAAAGCAACACACAGGGTTGAGGTTGCTGGCCCTTCTGGGTAAGAGTCGGGACTGAAATGAACCATCAAATGGAGAATGACATGGAAGCTGGGATCATGGGGGCATGCAAGGGCACTTACGGGACTCAGCCTTCTGGCTTTGCTGAGCATAGCGTGAGACGTGCCCTTGGAAGGTATTTCTCAAAGTTCAGGGCCCCGGCGTGGTACGGAAAGGATGCATTTAGTGGTAAGCAGCTGTTGCACACGATCGTTGCTCTCTGCGAAGTTGTTTTTTCTTGCATTTCGGGTAGGTCAGTTTTCCCGGATACCTACAGGTTGTGGATCAACAGCGCGCAGGTAGAAGAAAGAAAGTACAATGCATGTTGGATTCCCTCAATCAGTTGGACATACTTTAGCCTGGAAAGTGCGTGCGCAAAAGACCCGTGTGTAGAGAAAGCAAACATATTACCATCCATGCGTAGACTGTGAAACAGATCGGGTTCTGCCAGTCATGGGCGGGTATTTGTGGACTCAGCCTCCAGCTGATTCAGAGCCGAAGCATGTACAAGATGATTGCAACACACCAGCCGAGATTCTCACATCCATACTGCGCATTGAGAAGCAGTGCTGTCCACCATCGTCGGCTGCCTTGGCATCAGATCCCCTGAAGTGGCCAAACGAACACACAACAGAACCGGAAGGTACCACTGGTGCAGATGATGCTCTATCAATCAAGGTTCTGCTGGACGAGCCAGACATCAGGTTCTGTGTTTGCCAGGATATGGAATCGCCTGTGATCATCGCTTGCTTGTGGGCACGGGTCAAACGAGCTGGCATTGAGGATGTGATGGCCTCGCTATGCCAAGAGCGTGCTCAATGGGACACTGGTGGCAAGAACCTCCTACTGCAGAAGGCACAGGCAGAGGATGAACTGGCAGCAGAGGTTTATCACAGTATCATCAAGTGCCCCCGGCCATTCTGGGACCGCGAGGTTCTGAAACGCCAATGGAAGCTGCCACTGGAGTCTTCGCAAGGGAGTGGTTGTGACAGTGGCTGTGCACTTGTCTCCAAGTCCATGGAAGATGCATCAGTTCAGGAAAGCCCAGGCCATGTTCGCGCCTTTGTGCATAAAGCTGGATTTCTGCTGAGACCCTCACCTTACGACTGCATGCCAGAGATTGCAAATGGCGAGCCAGCCCTCGCCACAGAGTTGACCAGCTGCAGTCAGATTGACATGGGCGGCTTAATTCCTGCTTGGGCCACGAGCTACCTTGCCTCCACGGTGGCGGGGAAAGCTCGTAGTTGGGTTTCTGAGCTTCAGCAGCATTGCGATGTCCGGAAGGGTGAGGAGCCGGTTCCAACCCTTGCTGAGATTTCAAGCCAGTTGTCACCAGACTGGGCAGAGAGATGGGACAAGACAGAGGAGCCTGACAGTGGGGAGGAAACTGGAGAGGCGAGCTCCTTTATCAGTGTGAAGTCGCTCAGATCGTTATCTTGGTCGCCATTCTAAGTTGTCGATCGAAAAGACAGCAGCAGTCGCCGCTGTTAATGGTTACGTACCTTGCTGGTGGAGATGCAAGAAACCAAAGAAGCAGCTCGCACGGCCCGTATAAAGCCAGTAAAGTCCTGCAGGTGCAAAGCACCCCTGCATTTGAAGGCATCTGGTGATTTCCGCGAACTGGGCCCTTTTTCTGGGAGCCTTATTACGTGCAGTATAGTATTTTGGTGTACAGAGCGGGGGCCACATTTTGGAGCACCCATCTAATATACTCAATGCATGTCCTCCTCTGCTACAAACGTTAGGGTCTGAATTCGGGGGTCTTCGGTACCAATACGGAGGCCGAAGTCTTTCATGCATCTGAGCCATAATCTAAACTCCTTACAGGGGGCTACATCCGGGATTATACAGGGTTTAGGGTCTAGGGTCTGAACTCCTTAAAGGGAGGTATATAGGGGTTGTATATGGCAGGCTACGATAGGGGTAACCAAGAGGGATACGTGGAGTTTAGACTATAGCGCGTCTGATATTCTCCGGAGCGTCGAAGAAAGATTGCGGTACTGGCTCTGAAGGGGCTGTCGTTGTCCCGCTGCTTGCTTTGACCGAAGACTACTACTTCAGAGAGAATGAGGGAACATAATCCCTGTATAACCCGTATGTAATATATTGCCGTATCCCCTGCTAAGAACCAGTAAGCGCTGATTCAGAGCAGCTTGTAGGAAACGGAGAGCTGTCAATACTCCTTGGCATCTACATGCGACGCTTGAAGAACGCGGCTGGATGTATACAGACATGAAGAGAGGTACCTGGGAACAAGTGGCCTCAAAAACCAGTTGCTAATGTGGAAGCTTGAAGCAAAAGCTCGCAACCGTCTTGCTTGTGGATGCATAACATGAGAAGCAGATTGTATTTCTGCATCCCTGTCAACTGAAGGCTTCAAGATATTGCAGCCGCGCTCGCTGACATACTCACTGACCGGTAGCCGGTGGTTCTGCCACATGGTGTTCTGAGAGTAGCAAACCAGGGAGAAAAAGGCAGCACGGTTGGCCTGAGCTACACAGAGCGCGTTATTTTTTTTGACGATGGTATAGGCGTTTATTGGCAGTGACTTGAAGATCTGAGAGCAGAATTTGGGTTGGAAAACAACAGACGACAAGTAGGATTCCGAGGCCAAAACGTGGAACGTGGATAGGCTACTTTGTGCAGATATTCCAAAGTGCTTCCCATCAATCCCTTTTATGCGCGTTTCCGAGCATAGGTATACCCCTTACGTACCCTACAAGCGACACAGTCCTGACGTCAAGGACTCCCCAAAAAGCACCGCCCGTTCTCTGGAAAACTACGCTACTATACATGATCCTCGCGTGTTCCCTTGCAAGATCCTTACGTAAGGGAGGTGTTTGAGGGAAGACTTATTTAGGGAGAGCAGCCTCGTTAGAGAAGTAGGGGGGATTGGGGAATATTTGAGGATTACTGTGATACCTACATTCTTTGAACCCCAGCCCCCTTAACAGCCTTTCTTAGTCTTAAACCATAATGTAGCCCCTAAACCCTAAACCCCCACTTTTTTGTCCCCGGAGTTTTGGGACGGAGGTGCTAGCCATGCTGGAAGCCATTGACTGCAATCGATTGGTAAGTGCCCAGCCTCGGGCCTCGGATGTTGAGGGATTATAGGGGCTATACAGGGGTTATATACGGATTATAGGGTACATATACATATATATGTATATTGGGGTCATATTGGGATAATGGAAAATCAAATTGTACTTGGAGGGTCAGGGGGACGTAGTAATTGTGTTAATAAGGGGGATAAGTAGGGTTACTATATGGGCTATAGGGGTTATTAATCTACTTACTTAGTCCCCCTGACCCTCCAAGTAGAGACTCTTTAGTTCTGAAAATTTAGGCATGTGACTTAAGGGTTCAGGGATTTCCTTTTTTAGGGTATCGGGATTTTGGATTAGGGTCTTGGGTCTAGGGATTAGTTGGACTTAGGGTTCCCAGGGTTAATTGCAAGGCCCCTCAGGCGGGGGTGGCTCAAGTGGGGGGTTGCTTCAACCCCTAAACGCACAATCATATTGATGTTGGATTTTGTGGCTTTCGTGCATTTCTGAAGATAGGGCGACGGACCCATTGTTGGCAGACCTACGTTGGGGGTTTAGGGGTTTAGGGTTTAGGGGTTTAGGGTTTAGGGGTTTAGGGTTTAGGGTTTAGGGTTTAGGGGTTTAGGGGTGGCCATGTTCCTTTTTGCAAGCAAACCCTTGCCTGCACCTGCCTCAAGGTCGCTAACACAGCTGTTCCGATGGGAGGCCGTTCGACCAACAGGCGCATCTGCAAAACATCTTCATTGCTAGGAGGATTAGTAGACACTCCCTCTGTGAGCTATATCCTAAATTCCTTAAAGGGTGTATATAAGGGGAGTATATAGGGGACTATTATAGGGGCGATTAAAGGGGATACTAGGAGTCCAGACTAGACTATAGCTGATGTGAAACACACCCTGAATATTAGCGGTTCCTAAAAGTAGTTTGGAACTAGTCCAAATATCGAGACATTTTATATGAGGGGTGGCGAGGTGTTTAGAATGAGGGTGTAGAGATTACGCGGGTCATGTCTCTTTTTGGACAAAAGAAGTGGCCTGCGGCTCCTGCATAATTCCTACGCTGCATGATCCCAGAATTCCCAAGCCCCCTACAATCCCCCTTGAGTACATGGAACATGGGGTATACGGGGGTATTATTAGATTTCTGGGCATTTCCATATTCTATCTAATTAAGGGGACCATATATCCTAAAGTCCTGAGCCTTTGGCGGAGGGAGAGAAAGACTTTGAACAAATCTGAATCCAAAATCCTGAGCCTAAAGTCCTGAGCCATTAGCGGAGGGAGAGAAAGACCTTGAACAAATCTCGACTAACCCTCGCTCTTGGTTAGAACCACACCCAAAATCATGAGAAATTAGCGAAGTCCAGTTCTACAGACTAAGAATGAGTTTTAAAAACGGAAAAGCCGGCTCTTCGTATTTCAGACTGCACCTTAAGCTACTTTAAGATTAAACTTGATTTTTCAGGCTGGAAAGTATTTGCTTGAATTCTAGGGGGTCTTCGGCCAAAACTGCCCCTGCATCTAAAGTAAGGATCTTATGACTTGGATGTCCCCCACCCCGCGTAACAGTAGGATAATACACATGATCCTTGTATGAAGCCGGTATTTTACACATCATAGACTGTTACGGAACCCTAAACCTTATTCCTTTTGAACCCTAAACCCTACAAACCCTATAAACCCAACAAAACCTATTATAAGCCTTATCAACCCGATAAACCTTATCAGCCCTAAACAGCAATGATGAGGCTTTGATAGGCTTCTCATCTCGAGGGCTTGGGTTGCTGCGCAATCCTCTCTCCCCTGATATTGAACCCGCCCCCCTCAATATTCAATTTTTCCATTGCAGTTTAGGGTTTAGGGTTTGTCAATGTTCCGCGCACACCACCACATGGGACGTGTATCGTGGTGTGCGCCTACGTTAAGTGCTCTGTCCGGCACGCCCACCCACTGTCCACCTTGACGGGTTTAGGGTTTCTTTCAAAACTGTTTCGGGTTCTTCACAGCCCACTTTTATTTGTATCATCAATCTTTCTGGATCGACCCCAACCAAACAAACAAAATTGCGGCTCAACGTTGTGACCCTGCACGAACGCATACTAGGTGCATGGGTTTGTCCTGGATGGGCTGCGCCATGTGGGAGAAAAAAACCGTAGTCCACGAGTCCAGGCATTGCTTGCGTTCCTCATGGCCGTCTCAATCAAATTTAAAAGAAGAGCTATGCCTGCGTTCTGGTGGGCATCCCGGTCACATGTAAAAGCCTCCTAAGCCCTAAAGGCTCCTATCCATAAATCCAACACCCCAAAACTTGAACCTAAATCCAACCCCAATGGTCTGGGAGAGGTTCCAAAACAAGAAACGCGTTGGGAGAGGCTCCAAACGGAGAGACGGTCTGCGAAAGGCTCCAAAAACGCTTAGAATCAGTGTGGGAAATGGTCAGAAATGGTCTTGCTTCAAAAACGTTCAGAAACGATCTGGGAAAGGCTCCAAAACGTTCAGAAACTGTATCGGAAACAGTCAGAAACGGTCTTTGGCTCCAAAACACTCGGAGATGGTCTAGGAGAGGCTCGAACGCAAAAAGGGTCCCAAACACTCACAAACGGTCCCGGAAACGCTTTCAGAAACGGTCTGGGAGAAACTCGAAAACACCAGAAACGGTCCGGGAGGCTCCGAAACTCCAAAACGCAGAGACCATGGCAAACGCTTGCAAAACGCGTTGGACGTTCGAAAACGCCCAGAAACGGTCCGGGCTCCAGAATGTTCACTTTGGGAGAGGCTCAAACGATGATGGTCTGGGAGAGGCTCGGACGCAGAAACGGTCCGGGAAACCTTCGAAACGCCCAGAAACGGAGAGGCTTGAAAACGCCAGAAACGATCGGGAGGGCTTCAGTGCCCCTCAAAGGCTTTTGGGAGTGTTTGAGGCCCTGGGAGTGTCTGGGCAAGCCCCTTGGCCCCTTCAAGGCTGAGAGGCCCTGAAGCTTGCGGGCTTCTAGGAGGGCCCTTCCTAAACCCAACAATTCAGAATTGAGAGTCTTGAAACTGGAGGGTTTAGGGTATTAATTCTCGTTAGGGTCAGTTTGTCGCTGGCACATGGGCAACCTTTCCATGCGTGGGCCACGCTCACCGCGCGCTCCGGCCCGTCGCCCTCACAAGGCTCTCGCCTGCTCGCTCAGGCTCGCCGCAGGATGGCGCCACACGGTATCGCTCGCTGCTGGCAAGGGCAGCGCCCGCGGCTCGCTCTAGTTTGAGGGTTTGGGGTTTAGTAAGGAATATGTATTTGTGGAAAATTATAATGTATTGGGGGGTGAGCTTACATGTTAAGTATAGAGAGTGGGATGAATTTCCAATGCCCAAGATCAATCCTTCCAAAGCTCCTGCGAAAGACTTGCATAATCCGTAAACCACAAGC